GTAAGCAGCTTTCCCAGGGAGCTGCTAAATGGTCAAGCGGGGGTCTGACCCGATGGGCTGAACCTGCGATCCAATGCTCTGGTTGTCAAATGCCCAGAGAGAACGGTAATGAGAATTCAACACAGCCAGAAGCAGCTGTCTGTATTCAACCAACACTTGTCCAGCCAGAGGTCATTGCACCGGAGTGTTCGGGAGTGTTTGGGAGGACCTTGTGAACTATCAGATTTGGGGGGTGGGGGAGATGTGTTAGGCTACAGAGTTATTCAGTGCTGTCCTCCGACATGTCGGAGAGTTAGTTTGTTTCAAAACATTAATATATTTTGGAAAAGTGAAAGACTTTCTCTTCCTTCATTCACAAGAAAAGTGGTATTTCTGGCATGGGCTAGAGGCAGAGCATTCTATAAATACAAAAAAAACCCATTAGATCCCATGCAGCAGGAACCTGATCAGGGCCCCCTTTTAATTTCCTGACATGAGCTGGCCACTAACCCAATTACCCAGAATCCCTGGAGGAGCTTTCCGCTTTTCCAACATGCACAAAGAAGAGGGCGAAAGCATATTGCATGGCCAGCAGCCCAGCTCTCACTGAAATCAAATCTTTCAGAAAACACTTGGGAAGAGGCAGGCAGGAGTGCCTGGAGGGAGGGCAAGTCACAGGAGAAGGTGAAGTGGGCAGGGACAAGGGAGAATTATCCAAGTCGCAAAGTTGAACTGAAGACTTGGGGGTGGGGGCATCCGAAAGATGCAGCAAATGTATTTTTAAAGGTTCGTCTGGTCTGGAGACTAAATCAGTCCACACCTGAGATGCCAGGCAACCATCCTCGGAGAGGTACAGCCGAAAAAAATGCCATCCCCTAAGGGTCGCACCAACTAATCCAGGAGGGAGATAAATGGACCCAGTCTGTCACACTCAACTCTACAGTAGGAAGCTGTAGGAAAGAAAAAAAAAAAAAAGTGAACCTAAATGGGTGTAGCACTAGTTGAATGGTGCCAGGGGGCTGACACAGCAAGGCAACGTCAGGGTACCCACCGGATCCTCACCTTCACCTGCCGAATAGCAGGCATCAATACACGAAACGGAGGTTAAGTCTGAAACCCACAAAGAAAACGCCAATCACCGGCTCTGAACCCGTGTCAGATTTCTATAGTCAATTTCACATGCAGAGAAAAAAAAAAAAAAAAAAAAAAAGGATGACTTTCCCCTGAAAATATGAATTGTCATTCAATGGAGCTGCAAAAAGACAGACTCGGGGACACTGTCTTCATTCATTCACTGACTGCTCCACTCATCCCAGGATAGATGGCCAAGCCAAAGGAAGCCATGTGGGAAAGAGGATCCGTCTCCGACCACCTGAGGCATCTATCTGCTAGGCTTTGATCCTGCGACAGAACACCACCACACATCTGACTTCATCCCTGGTCATGGCTGGAGCCCCTAAATCGTGGAGCAGCAACATGGACTATTTTACTAAGAAAGTTACAGGAGACGTCTTGAGCTGCCAGGGACGAGGGAAAATGGAATGGGTAGGGAGGAAAAAAGCTGTGTCCATACTCCCCACTTCCCTTTAAAGACTCAGGGACCCCTGCTGCCCAGCTGACTGAGACCCTAACACAGGAATCAGCACAAAGAAGTGTGAAGTTTGTTTACAGAAGCTGAGTAAGACAGAGGGGGTGGGGCGGGAGCCCAGGCTGGCCCTAGGGAGCAAACTGCACACAGAACAAGGAGGGGACACACCCAAACAAAAGCAGGAGCCGGGACAAGTGCCAAACACTCTATCTGGCAGGGACCCAGACTCCTGCAGGAGGCCTGCTCCTCCCGGGGGCTGGTCCCGGTGGAGCTTCTGATGCCAGGTACCACGGAGCTCTATGGGGACCCACGCTAAGCCAAGAGCTCAGCTTTACCCTCACTCGGGGGTGGGAGGGGGACTTCCTGTCAAGTTTCTCTTCCAGATACAGGCCTGCCAGCACTGGAGCTGTGGTGGGATGTTCCCTGGTGACTGTCTCATCCTCCTTCAGGCAAAGCTCCCTAATGGCTGAATCAGGCTCAGTGTGTCAGCCCAGGGGGCATCTGGCTGCCATAGAGAAGCCACTGCTGAAGGGGAGGCAACTCTGGGGATCACCCTGGAGGTCACCCCACTTGGACACTAAATCCTTGCAGCACCCTATTTCCCACCACTGGAGACCTGCATCGTCCATGGGCTTCTCTTTCAGGAGACAGCCCAAGGATCTCTCCACCGCATCCCTTCAGTGTGCTTGCTCATGCCTCTCCTGTCATTGGTGAGACCCTCCCTTTCTGGGGACCACTAGAAAGTATCCTCTTCTTCGCCACACTGAGCAACTCAAGAGAATCCTGAGCACTCTGTCCTGACTGAGTGGCGACTCCCCCATTCCTGGCCTCTGTCACGGGGTGGGGGCGAGTTGGGGGGCAGAAAGCATGGATCTGGGCCCTGATCTTCTCAAGCTGGAGGATGGCTGAAGGTGGGACAGCCATCTCACTCCAGCCCCTGAAGGCCCCATTTCTCACCTGAAAGAGAGGAGGCCCCCTTCTGCTGTGATTCCCTCAGGTGTGGAAAAGCAGGCAGAGAGGCAAACTCCACCAGCGGAGTACCTGCCTGAGCCGGTGTCTCACTCAGCTTCCAGGACAAGGTGACAGACAGTTCCATCTGGGGCTTAGGAGGAAGGAGTCTCTTCAAAGCCTAGAAATCCTCAGGTTCCCAGCATCAAGGAACCCGTAGGTGTAAGGAGGCCAAGCAGGCCTGCCTCGGTGGGCCTCCTCATCTGAGAACACCAGGAGGTTTGGAGCCTGGTGTAAGAGGCAAGGACCTAGTACAACCTCTGTCTCGGTCACACCTACACACAACCAAGAACAGAACTGTACCACTGAGCGAACCATGATCTGACATGCAGCAGGCCCAACACAGGCCATTTCAACCTAGAAAGGGGCGGTTTCCTCCACAGCAGCCTCCCCTAAAAAGCAGCTGACACATCACCAAGGGGTTAAGAAATGACAAATGAAGAAGGCATTTGTGCTAGCTAGTTTTACGTCAACCCGACACAAGCTAAAAGGAGGGAATCTCAATTAAGGAAATGCCTCCATAAAATCAGGCTGCAGGCAAGCCAGTAGGACATTTTCTTAACTGGTGATTGATGGGGAAGGGTCCAGCCCATTGTGGCTGATGCCATCCCTGGGCTGGTGGGTCCCAGGTTGTAGAAGAAAAGCAGGAGGAGCAAGTCAGTAAGCAGCATCCCTTCATGCTCTTCATCAGCTCTTGCCTGCAGGTTCCTGCCCTGTTTGAGGTACTTGCCCTGTCCTGACTTCCTTCAGTGATGAACTACCAGGAGGAAGTATAGGTGGGAATAAACCCTTTTGTCCCCAACTTGCTTTTGGGCATGGTGTTTCATGACAGCAATAGTAACCCTAACTAGGGCAGCATTTTAAAGCCCAGTGCATGGCAGACCCAAGAGGCAACTGGCATCTTGCCCGAGAGTGGTTTCTTCCTAGGTACAGATGCTGAACTGAGTCCAGGTGAGGAATGGAAGAACCCAAATTTTCCCCTAAAACTGGAGTGTCCATCCATGCTGTCTCGCAGTCAAAACAGCTCAGAGGTGGGCACTTGATTCTCAGAGCACAGAGGAGGAGTGGGGGAAGTCCCCGCTGCTGAAGGTGAGCTAGGTTAGAGCAGCAACCCCACCTTGCCCTTCCCAGGGAACACTGCATCCCAGTGGACTCCTTCCTCTTTGCCTGTCCTCCTCCACATAAACTCTTCCTGTTTCCTTCCATGGTGGGAAGGATCAAGGCTCAGAAGCTGATCGGTAAGAATTTACACCGGCTCTCTCTGAGGGGGACACACATGTGTACTCGCAGTGATGTGTGTTCATGTAGCTCGAGCATGTGTGTCTACACATACACACACATACACACACATACACACACATACACACACACACACACACACACACACACACACACACACACACCATTCCACAGAGGTGGTGAGGAAGGAAGGGCCCTACAGCAGCCTTCCATGCAATGAGTCCCAAATCACCTCACATTTCTTAGGAGCCACTTTTGAAGTGCGGATTGAAGTGCAAGATGCTAATTTCACTGTGCTTTAGTTAACTCAATCTAGGACCAGAGTCAGGTTCCAGCACCCACACAGCAACTTACAGCTACTTAGGCATCGGGTGCCCTCTTCTGAACTCCACGGGCAGCAGGTCTGCACCTAGCAGCCACTCACACATACATACAACATGAAAGCAAACTTTTAAAGCTGATTTCCGTAATAAAACATCTTAATTTTAAAAACCTATGAAGGATAAAAGCCTTTCATAGAGCCAAAGATATAAATGGGCAACAAATAAATTAAAAAAAAAAAAAAGAATGCACCTTGGCTGGAACTAAATAAAGCTCAGTTGGCGCTTGTGACTCCTGACTATGTCACCAAATGGTGTGACTCTGGGGGGGAGGGGGAACAACAGGAAGGACAGAACTGGAAGCAAAGTTGGAAGAACAGAGACATGAATGGGGAAACACTCGCCAAGCAAGCAAGAGACATGTCCCAATGGCCACTCTTCACCAGCAAGGAGTGTGCCACCGGCCCCTGCAAACCTGAAGGAGTACGAGGGACTGATTCTAAGTGCCCTCAAGAGGGAGGTGATAGGCTAGTCCAAAGGAGGACTTCCCAGAGTGACAGCTGGGGCCCTAAACAGGGTCAGAGTCCCCAAAAGGTCCTTGGGACCTCTGGACTTCCACATTGCTAGCCCACATCTTTCCACAAAGGGATGCCCAACAGGCTATGGCATGGCAGCCATGATGCAAGACAGCCTGTAGCAGCATGTGTACACACACACACACACACACACACACACACACACACACACACACACACTGTCCTTGGGGAGGTCCTCAGCCTTTAGGTATCCTTACAAAGGTTTGACACTCCCCACCAAGACAAACCAAGCGGAGCCCCAACTCTGGCAGTTGGCTGTGGGCCTCTTACCTTCCTTCAGCATCCCCACTTTGAGGCATTTCATGAAGCGGCAGGCCTGACAGGACTTGCGCCTCCGTTTGGTGATCTCACACTCGTTGGTGGCCGGGCAGCTGTACTCGATGTTCCCTGAAAAACAGAGAGGGTTGCCAGGCGCCTGCCGTTCATCCAGGACCCTGACCCGTCAGGTTGGCTATCTGGGGATTAATTGGCCAGAGCTGACTCGCTCCAAACAGGGTTGCATAGTGACGTGCTTCCAGAAACAGGGGCTTAAGTGGCTGTCCAGAATGTTTCAAACACCACCGTGTCCATTCCATCCTCTGAGCTTGGTAGGCCAAGCAGCCACCTGGGGGAAAAAAAACTTGTTCTTCTGAGAATCGTCACTCATGGTTTTGAATTTGAAACAGCCACAGGATTTCAGGGAACAGGGCAGGACATCAAATTACATCAATAGAGCACGTTACACGAGGAAAACAGCCACTGTGCTGAGCTGATTAACACAGACCATGCCAGTTTGTCCAACCTGCAGCTGTCACTAGGAAGAGCCCAGGAAAACCGTGGCAGGGCCTGAACGCTTGCCTCCCTCTGGGGCCAGGCCACCGAGCTCCTGTCACCATGCCTTAGTTTCCTCATCTGCAAAATAGTCACTAGCTCCTAAGCAAAGGGTTTAAACAAAATCGTACCTGAAATGTCACTTAAAAAAATTGTATCCTAAACTGAGCATGGTGACGCACACCTGTAATCCCAGCACTCTGGGAGGCAGAGGCAGGAGGATCTCTGAGTTTAAGGCCAGCCTGGTCTACAAAGTGAGTTCCAGGACAGCTAGGGCTACAGAGAGAAACCTTGTCTCAGAAAAACCAAAACCAATAACAACAGCAACAAAGTAGCCTAAGCTGGCCATGGCGGTGCACCTTAAATCCCTGCAGAAGAAGGCGGATCTCTGAGTTTAAGGCCAGCGACGGCCATACTGTGAGACCTTGTTTCAAAAAAAAAAAAATTTTTTTTTAATTTTAGCCCAGGTTAGGCATGATAGTGTGCATTCCTGTCATTTTTAAAAGTTATGACATTTATTTATTTATTTGCTTGTTTGTGTGTGTTAATTATAATTAGTGCAGGTGAGGGAAACAGGAGTGCCAGTTCGTGTATATGGAGGTCAGAGGACAACGTTCGGGAGTCAGTTTTCTCCATCCACCATGAGATTCCTGGGGATTGTACTTGGGTCATCAGGCTTGCCAGCAAACCACCTTACCCACTGAGCCATCCTATTGGCTCTGCAATTTCAGTCCCTGGGAGGTGGAGGCAGGAAGAGCAGGGGGTCACGGTCATTCTTGTCTATAAGTCAAGGTCAAGGCCAGCCCCGCCTTACAGGAGACCCTGCCTTAAAAACAAAACGGGGCTGGGGATGTAGCTCAGCTGATAAAGTGCTTGCTTAATGCCACACCCAGCACCACCTGTGTGCTATGCTAGCACTTGGAGGTAGAGGCAGAAGGATTGGGTCATCTTTAGCTACAGGACAGGAAATAGAGGGCAGCCTGGACCACAGGAACATAGCCTGTCTCAAAAAAAAAAAAAAAAAAAAAAAAAAAAAAAAAAAAAAAAGAGCAGTAAAGAAACAGACTTAGTCTCAGCACCTGGGAGCTTAAGTAGGGTGCCCAATGATTTAAGGGCAACAAAGGCTGCATGTCCAAACTGCCTTAAAAGTGGGCTGGGGGCCCACAGCAAACCTGGTACTAGAAGAAAAGCAACAAACAGAAGGTACCAGGTCCTCGTCCCATCCAGAGGGCCAGGGAGAAGCTGGGGACCTGCCCCTCCCTGCTCTGCATCTACCCACTCACAGCTTTTGGGAGTTGGTTCCCTCCTTCCAACAGTGGACCTGTGGCTAAAACTCAGGCCATGAGGGTTACAAGGGTCTTTACCCACAGAGCCTTCTCACCCAGCCCATCCTTGGCTATTTCTTAGGTAACTCGCTTATGTAACTTCATGGGAAGTCAACTGAGGTGTGGCAGAATTCCAATAGTCACCTAAACATGTTGGGGGGGGGTTGTTTTGTTTTAGTTTGTTTCTAATTTTGAGGCAGGATCTCACTCCGTAGCCCTGGCTGGCCTCAAACTCAGGGATCCTCCTACCTCAGCCTCCTCGGTCTTGGATTAGAGAGGTTTACCTGGGTAAGCATGGTACTATTAAAGATGATAAATGAGAGGAAAACACGGGCTCAGTTAATGCATCCATTGGTTCATGTGGGCTGTCTGAGAGGCTCTGTAGCCTGTCCCCTTCCCCACCCTATCATCCTTACACCCCCACCCACAGAGCCTGAGAGGAGACCCTCCCGCTCCTCAGCACTGTGCATAACCACCAGTTCCTGAAACGGGCATCTTCTCCGCCCCAGGCCTGCGGCCTCCAATCCAGACCCCATGCCGCCCCACTGTGTTCGTGACCTACTTCCTCTTCCAATACCTGACGCACAGTAGGCCCCCACGGCACGCTAACCACTAAATAACCCAGCAGCGGTGCAGCTGCAGCCCCCGCTCAGTGTATATTAAAGTCTTTAATGTAACCAGTCTCGCCCCATCTTACAGGCGAGAGCCAGGTATAGTGTAATCCCGAAGCTCAGGAGGCTGGGGCAGGACGATCACAAAGCCTAGGATGGGACAGGTTATACAGTGAGTTTGGGGTTCGTTGTTGTTTACATTTTCACAAATGAGGGGGTGAAAGCACAACCCTAACAGAAGCAGCTTGGACACTGAACCCTGCTCACTGGAGGTGTATGGTACAGACATCTGTGCTCTGCAGCCAGCCAGCCCTTGAGTGAGGGTGGGTTGCTGCTCACTGAGGGGGTGGGGGGAAGTGGTGAGGGGCATGGGACAATGCTCTCGACCTTTCAGGGTGTGCGTGTGTGTGCATACGCGGAGACACGCAAGCACCGGTGTGTATTTCTAATTCTACTTATTTATTTCGTTCCTTTCAATTTGTTTTATGGGCCTGGCGGCTGGCTGCCAGCAGAGCCAGGCTGGTGGCCTCGTCTTGTAATTTCTCTAAGTGCCTCCCTGATAAAGTGATGAGATTAATTCATCATTGTTCTCGTGGTCTCAAGGGGAGCCTAGGAGACCTCAGCACCGGGCCAGGACATCAAGCGTGCTCACACGCTTACCATCAACTCAGGTATGACCAAGTTACTAATAAACAGACCCTCATAGGACAGGGACATTAGCCAACAGCTAGCACAAACTCAGGTCCCACGCTGGGAGTCTGTCCACTGTAGAAACAGGCAGACTCCACTTCAGGCAAGCTGAGTCACCTAACTTGTAGGAGCCTCAGTTTCCTCATTTATAAAACAGGTGTGATTTCCATCTCAAGGCCGTTTGAACTCAGCATACTATGACTAAGTGGAGCACAGACCCTGGCATCCAGGCGGGCAGGCATGGCAAACTAAATCTTACATGCAGGCAGATCTGTGGAAGTAGACGCAGAGGATGCTAGCACCAACCTTGTCGGTGCCACACAGAATGAAGGCTATCCACCCAGGGACGCTGGAGAGCGCTGTAATCTGTGGACAGCTGGACCTCAGCTCCTGTTTGTGCCTGAGGGGTGGGAAGGCACACCCGGAGCTGAGCTGGAATTCAGTGTGACCCTGAGGCGGAGGGGTATGGGTAGTCTCTTTGATCCAAGGCCGCTCTGAGAAGGGAAATCTAGGGGAAACCCCACCAGCTGTTCCTGCGGCTGTAAGCAAGCCAGAAGTCCCATCCACGCTCAGGCACCGGAGCTGTGACACTCAATCAGTTCCAAGGCCCCAGCTGACCTCAGAGGCTGTGGTGAGCAACTGCTGTGAAGGGCTGCGTTCCCATCTACCTCGGTCCTGTGGACAAAGACCTTCCCTTTCACTGTGTGTGGTCCAGCGTCCTCAACCCTCTAAACTTCCCTCCTCATCCACAGCAGACCATCTCACTCCTGCGTGGGCTCCCTATCACATAAATGGAGGTACCCTATTCTGGGTCAAATGGTCCGTTCCTGGGCCTGCTCGCTGCTGCAGTTTCCACCTGGAGGGCCTTTGGACTTCAAAGCTTTCTCAAACAGAACCCATTCTCACAATTGGTTCCTTGTCATGTCAAAGAGGGTGATTCTCCAGCCTGCCACTTGGGTCCAAAACTGAGGAAGCGGATGGGTTCTTACACAATTTGCTCCCTAGGCCCTTACTATTTTCCCTCTTCCCCTGAGGCCACATCCCAACAGAGCAAGTCCTGTCTGTGTGGTAATGCAGTAGCCTCTGCCACCTACTTCCCTTTGCACCAACCCTCCTGAGCACACGCCAAGACAGACCTCTAGTCCGTCACTGTACCCTGAAACACAGGCCTCCGTGCCTTCCCCAAAGCTTGTTAAAGAGTGACACAATGGTGAGAGGGTTTGAGGAATGGAGCATGTGGAGGGACTGGGGGTATACCTTGGTTGGTAGAATACTTGTCTAGCGTATGAACCCCCGTGGAGCGGTTCAGCAACACTGCAGACGTCAGACTGAACACAGTGGTATACGCCCATCATCCCAGTACTCGGGAGCAAAAAAAAAAAAAAAAAAGAAAAAAAAAAAGAGGGAGAACCAAGAGTTGAAGGTCATTCCTGGCTATATACTGAGTGTGAGGCTCGTATCTGGGAGGCATGAGATCCTTTCTGCAAAGGGAGGAGGCAGGGAGGAGGAGAAGAGGAGGAGGAAGTCAGGATGCTCAAACGGATGCAGCTGGGTCCTCAAGAACAGCCATCACTCCATTCTTGAAACCCGTGGTGGAGAGAGAAGATGAAAGCTGTACTCTGACCTCCACGCACATACACAAATGATAAATAAAAACCGAGAATAAGCCAGTTGCGGTGGCACGCTCCTGTGATCCCAGCACTCGGGGAGCCAGAGGCAGGTGGGATCGCTGTGAATTCGAGGCCAGCCTAGATGGGTCAAGGACAGCCAAGGCTACACAGAGAAACCCTGTCTTGAAAAACCAAACCAACCAACCAGACAAACAAATAAACCCCCCAAAACAAAAAGAAAAAAGAATATAGGGAGTACCTTCAGAAAGAAAGGACCTAGAAAGAGGAAGATACACTTGTCCAGAAGAGCCTTAAAAGGCCTCGGGCACAGAAGATTCAAG